CCTCTGGAGCTGCTGCCCCCCAGCATCCCGAGCCCACACCGCAGGCTGGCTCTCTGGCTTCCCTTTCCTTGTCTGTTCGTGGGTCCGGTGTTACTCCATCCCCAGGGCAGAACCCGGCATTTGTTCCTGTTACGTTTTGTGCCGCTGATGGTGGCCCAACACTCCCGTCTGTCGAGGTCGAGGACTCTTGGCCCTTGGGAGCGTCAGCAGCCCTGCCAGTTTGTTACCCTCAGTCCACCCCTGCGGCCAGGCCCTCAACAACAACAGGGACAGCTCTGGCCCCAGGCCCGAGCTTTCTGTTTGTTTTGTTTTTTAAACCAGGGAGCAACGTGTTACGTCTGCAGCTAAACTGAAGGAAGGACATCTTGGGATAAGGCTTCCCTGCAGGCAGCTTGAGCAGTCATGGGGTTCAAGCATTCGTCAGGAAGAGTTGCTTCATATTCCCTCCTCCTCCCCTTGGGGTCTGAGCTTTCGAGTCTGGGGAAGGGGAGTGTCTGGGTGGTCTCTGATACATCTTTATGAGGATTACTGCTAAGGCAGAGCTGGCTGTCTCTCGTGAGTGCCCTGTTACCCCCGATCTCTGAGGTGTTGAGGAACTCTGGTTTGTCTGTGCAGCTGAAGGTGTTTCTGAGCTGATCAGGGATTTCTCGCCGTTACCTGACATTTGCCTGCGTTTGTGTGCTGTGCAGGCTCTGCAGATGAGAGAGGGCAAGGCAGCTGCTGTAACCTGTAGCAGCCCTAGGCGCTGGGGCGCAGAGCGAGGCTTGTAACCGCTTTGTCCTTGGCCTTCCTGCCGTGGAATTTCATGTGGCTTTAGCATTTGTCCTTTGTGAGAGGAAAAAAGAGGTTGATACCTCAGAAGAGTGGTTTAGGGTTGTAGTGTGGTCAGTGTTGTCACACTTGTGAATCTGGTAACGAAAGATCTAGTGAGTAGATATTTCTGGATAATCTCGTGCCATTCCAAGTATTTGCATTTGGTTCGGGGAGTTTAATAATGAACGAGGCAACACAGAACATTTGATTTAGGGGGAATTTCACAAACAGCCTTTCCTGGCTGAAGGATTCCGTTCCGTGATGTCAGTTAACTGCACTGATACAGGATTGTGTTGGGTGTCAGTTGTGTTTTGGGTTGAAGAGTTTTCATGTCTTTAATTCTGAATGGAGAAATTAAGCATCTGGAGCCAGTGGTGTGTGCCTAGGGATAAACAATTCCTCACGTGTCAGTGATTGCCATGAATTTGACTCCTGTTTCTTCTGTAATGTGTGATAGCTGTGTAGATGGGGTGTTCTCTTACCCTGATTTTTCCGAGTAAAGCTGCTGTCTCCTTATCCATACGGATTGTAGGAATCTGGGGGTTTTCTATTTGGTGTCTGAAAAGCACTGAAATGCCTTCTGTTTCTTTTGTTTTTAATCAGATCTTCGTGGAGTTCGATGGCTGTAACTGGAAGCAACATGCTTGGGTGAAAGTCCATGCTGAAGAGGTGATAGTGTTGTTGCTGGAAGGATCGTTGGTTTGGGCACCTCGAAATGATCCAGTTATGCTCCAGGGGACTCGAGTCTCACTGGCACAGTGGCCTGCACTGGTGAGTACTTGGCCAGAGGCTCTCGTGTCCTCAGAGGTTTGCATCAGCTCTGCTGTGAACCACACATCTGGGATGTGGTACAGGGTGTCGTTTTGCAGGTACCAAAAATTGCCTGAGGACATTTTTTCACATGGGAGATCGCAGAGCAGTTACCTGGGTGTTACGGTGCCTTTGAGGTGTGTGCTTCCAGTGCCTGCCCCAGAAGGGAAAGCCGTTACCCCCCAGAAACAAGATCTTGTTTACCAGTGGGTCTCTGCAGAAATGTGGTGCACGTAAGGGAGAAGAGTATTTTCCCTTTTAGAAAGTTTTAGAACTTTGAGTGCATTGGGCTTTTCTGAACCGGGAGAATACACCTGTTGGTCTTAGTGCGGCCTCTGTAGGGCTCTGTATGGTAAAGGTGCAGCATTGTTTCCCTGGTGTTTCTGAAGGCACGTGGGGTGAGAGAATAGGCTGTGAGCCTGACCTGTAGCCGTAAATTGGCCACTCCTAATCCAGCCGCAAGTTTGGTTTCAGTAGTGGTGTTAGCACCGCCCAGGGCAGCAGTTTTCTCCTGTTCCTGGGGGCGGTTAGCCGCGCTGCTGTTCACGTGGCCGTGGCATGTTGTGGCACTCGAGGCCAAACCCCCTGTGCTTCAGCCGGCGTATCCGGGTGTACCTGTTCCACAGGCATCCTGATGAGCTTCTGTAGCGCAGAGCGTTCCTCTTCGGAAGCCCCGAAGAGATGAAATAGGATGTAAGGAAGGATCCTTGTCCGTGAGAGTGCTGCCCTTGTCAGTTCTGGTTTTATTGTCCTAGATCTATCACTTAGGAATCTGTCCTGCGTTGTCTCTTCCTGCTAGTCCTGTTCGCCTTCAGGAAATAGTTTTACATAAACGGTGAAATTGAATTTTATACTCACTCTGTTGGGTAGAGGAGGATGAAGTGTGGGCAAACTTGATGAGAGCCGTTACAGGCAAAGTGTCCTGAATACGTGTGTGTCACGATCCTGTAGGCATGCGCTGAGACAGAACACGATCCACAGACTCCAGTGGTTGGCAACTTCCCCTCCCCAGGCTACGTCAGCAGGTGGTTGTTTGGATTCTGCTGGGTCTTTCTAATCATCCATCCCCAGCTGGAATATCAACAGTGCCTGTAACAAGCTTCAGCTCGGGGAAAAAGCTGCCCTTCATTAATACCCCCCAACTCCTGCATAGGAATACAAATGCTCCTGGTAGGGGGCTGTACCCCAGACATGGAGCATCTAGCTTGAACTGTCACCCCAAGATCGGTTGTTAACCTGAGCATCAGAGGGTGCGTTCCCGTGGCAAACAAAGCCACGGAAGGGGTTTCAGTTCTGCTGCAGGCTCGAATGAAGAGCTGGAGCCAGTGTTCTGCAGCTCCTTCTTGTAATATGCCACACGTTGAAGGATTACTGGCGTATGCATAGCGAGTACCAGTTTGCATTACGGCGTGGGCACTGGGTGACACAAGTTGAGAAACGAAACTTTAAATCCTTGTGGTACTGAAATGGCACGTGAAAACAACTGCTGTGGGGCTGTGTGTGCTCGTCCTTTGTATAACCTGTGGTTTCTCTTGTTCATCACAGACCTTCACTCCTCTAGTAGATAAGCTGGGTTTAGGCTCTGTAGTCCCAGTGGAGTTTCTCCTGGACAGACACTTGCGTTTCCTGTCTGACGCCAGTGGATTACGTTTGTTTCAGGTATTAACTGCAATTTAACTGTCTGCTCTGGTTGTCAGCTTACCTGTTCCACTTCCATGTTCTTGTCCTCCCCCTTTCACTGCCCTGTCACGTGTCTGTGTCCCTGCTTTCCCAGGGGCTTATGCTGATCTCCATCTGCGCTCCATCAGTCCTGGTTCCTCTCGTGGAAGCCAGCGAGCTAGGCGCCATGCAGCTGCACGTGCAGTGGAAGCGTTGCCACTGCAGCCCATGGCTGGTCCTTTTGTCTCCTGGAGTGTTCAGCGACGCTTTTCTTGCTGTGACGGTTTTTGGTCTGTCAGTCCCTGAGAGCACCCAATGAGAGCTCTCTCTTAAAAAAGGAATTAACTTAACGAACTCTTACCTTAAAAGACTGTTCTTTTATGATAAAACTGTTTGTTGTTGGCAGATGGGAACAGAGAGTCAAAATCAGATTCTGCAGGAGCAGCCTTCACTGAGGGAATCTGTCAACGCTCTGATCAGTGACCAGAAGCTTCAGGAGATATTTAGTAGAGGTGAGAGCGCGGTGTTCAATCTCGGAGCTACTCTGTGAGCAGTGAGACTGTGCTGGGATTTGTGAAGGGGAATAGTGCCCATTACTGTTCGTTCTGGAGGGTCGATTTTCTCTATTGTTCCACCAGCTCCTCACGAAGAAGCTGTTTGGTCGCAGATACAGAAAGCAGGTGCTGAGCTACAGCCAGAAGTCCCTGTTGGGAATGGTCACTGAGGGTGTAGTTCAAGTAGGACGACTTGTTGACAGCGTCCATGTGCTTACAGCTTCCCTAGGGTTAAGTTTCAGTTGGGCATTTTTAAAGCTCTGCTCCGCTCTGTAATTCTGGCAGCGTAGAAGTACAGTTACTCTGTAGATGTTGGCCTGTAAAAAATTCCGTTTGTTAATGTCTAATTCAAACTTTGGCGTTCGATAGTTAACACATGACTTGCTGAACGTTGAAAACAGTGTGGCCGCTCAGCACCATTAATGTCTGAACCGTTGTCCGGGCTGGGTTAGGGTTAACCTTGACCGCAGAATTTGGTGGCACACTGGGGTCTGTCGGTGAAGTGCTGAGATGGTTTCCCACCCGGAGTTCGGGTTGCTGGAGGCCACCCGGGGCGTAGGCCACGGTTGCTTGAAGGTGGATGTCGTTCATGAGGGGCGTTCAGGGCCTTCTGGTTAAACAAAACGGTCGTTGATAGAAGTGTGACGGGGACAGCCCTTGCCGAGCAAGCTCCTTGTGAACCGGCCAGCTCGGAGCCGCCTTCTGAACTGCCTCGTTCCGGCCCTGTCAGGCACGGGCTCTGGGGTCGTGGGGATTTTGACCACCTAGAGTAACTACATCTTTGTGCCTGGACTTAGGGCAGCGGAAAGCTGGGCATGCTGGTGTGGAGAGCGAGGGCAGGGCGGAGGAGACCTTGCTGTAGATGACGCGATACCGGTGCCTAAGCACTGACCGGTTGGTGTAGAGATGTTGGGGATCTGTGCCATCAGGTTCAGTTTCCCACCCTTCCAAAGACATGTTTCTGAACTGCAAGCAGGTCGTACTGGGGGTTGGTGTGTCAGGACTGGGTCGGAACGCTGTGCCTGCCCCCTGGGCTGGCGCTTCGTAGCTGCTGCCGGGAGGGTTAGAAAGCAGAAGAGTTGAGTTGCAAGGAGCCCCCATCTAGCTTCGTTTGGTCAAGGAGTGAGTTTGTTTTGGTCTGTCGCTTTTTTAAACTTGTAAATGATACTAATCTTGTGTTTCCAGTAGTTCTGCCTTACAGCAGTGAGCGCTCCCTGCCGCTTCACGGCGGAACGCTTGGCTTGTGCAGGATTTGCAGCAGAAGCCCTGGCGCTTTTACTTCGTTCCACCTGGAAGACGCCACAGCCCGAATTATGTGCACAGAACGCTCTCGCTGTATGACTCTTGGCTAGTACGGCACAAAGCTCGTCTGGAAATTATACTCCACGTCCTCTTTTCCAGGTCCTTACAGCACCCAAGGCCAAAGAGTTAAGGTTTACCAGCCGGAGGATGAAAACAGCTGGCTTTGTGGGGTTGTGAGCCACCAAGACCCCTTGACTCGCCTTATGGAGGTGTCTGTGACTGAGGTAAAATCACGAAGCGCTGCTTTGGTGTTCCAAAACACCCTTCCTCAATGTCTCGTGGACCATGACAGCTCCACCAGAACCTGTGCTTTTGGTTCTTTGTTTCTTGCTTTGAAAGAAGAGCAGTTATCCGTGTGGCGGCTCGCAGATTTGCTGTTTTCCTGTTTCGATGACTTCCCACAGCGGATGGCGGTGCACAGCCCGCTTCTGCAAAGGAAGCTACAAGGATTTCTTTGAAATGAGCACTAGATGGCAAAGTACCGAAGCGGTGTTCTGGGCAGGAGAGCGTGCTGATGTCCAGGAAGCACCTTTTGCTGTGGTCTTCCTGTGCCTTCTCCCAGTGTCTCTGTGACAGGCTGTACGCGGGGTTGGAAAACAAGCATAGCGTGGAAGATGACACCTTAGTCTAAGCAGAATAGATGGATTTTAGCTTAGGCTGTTTGCTTTTCCCCTTGCTGCCAGTGAGCCTCCAGAGTGTGGTGAGCAGCAGAGATCTGCGCCCTGCTCGGGTCACCCGGTGCGCGTCACCTGTTTCTGCGTGTGCCGGCAGGTAGTTGGCTCTCACCGCAGCCTGCTCCTCGTGGCTGCTCTTCCCAGGAGCAGCAGGCCTGTGGTGCTGTGGGATTACTGTAGCAGCAGCACTCCTCTCGGGTTTCTGGGTCCAGTTCTGTGTCCCAGGCCACCCACCCCCACACCCGTCATGCGCAGAATGAATACACTGAAATGCCCGGGAATCCTGTGCTGATCTGCTGCTGGTGCCCAGGAGGGGAGGTGTGTGCGTATTGTAGGCGAGTCTGGTGCTTCGGAGAGGCACGGAAATGAGGGCGTATGCGCTCCCAGCAGATGTGTGCCAGGAAGCACCCGTCTCTCTGCCGCAAAATAGCACAGTAACCTCCGTGCGCGGTTAGAGGTTGGGTGCTCCTTGCTCCTCGGGGGGTGATGGGGGTGGCTGGCGTAAACCCGTGCTTCCCTGCACTCCTCTCTGCTGCGTGGAGCAGAGCAGTGTGCAGAAGGCTGGAGCGGCACGGAACCCCGTTCAGGGGAGCTGTGCTTCTGCGCTGAGTGCCTCGAGAGAGGCTCAGCAGAACAAACGTGCAAGGAAACAGTGGTAGGAGTCAAATTTGGAAGTTTTTGAAATAGAGAGGGAGAGGAGGACAGGAGGTGACCCGGAAGTCTGTTGTATTATGAAGGAAGTGGGACAGAAGGAACACACAAACGGGAGAGGGGCGGCGGAGTAACCTGGTGGTCTTTTGCATTGATGCTGTATACTCTGAATTAAAAACTAACCTCCTCTTTTTTCCCTTCTCCCTCCTCAATATCAGAGTGGTGAAATAAAGTCGGTAGATCCTCGGCTGGTTCATGTGGTGATGGACAACACTTCTCCAGGCGAGGTACTGCAACAGTTCAGTTCTTGTGGGAAACTTCGTAAAGATTTAGATACAAAACACGTAAAACACGGGAACAGCTGAAAGCTGGTGCTGTGTTACCGTGGGCTTTTGGGAATGTGACTGCAAGAGGACAATTTTCTTTGCCACTTTGAGAGATGGTCACAGCTTGCTTTAACCAACAGGTTTTCATAGAATCCCAGAATGTTTTGGGTTGGGAGGGACCTCAAAGCCCACCCAGTGCCACCCCCTGCCACGGGCAGGGACACCTTCCACTAGACCAGGTTGCT